GTGATGGTGAATCCTGTTTCAGAGGTTCTATTCAGCTCAATTGGGTCATAGGGCACACCTACTAAGCCCTGGGTGGATCAAGCTGTTCAGTAAGGTAAACTTATTGGATGATATTAATTGCAACACTTACAAGATAAACTTCATAGTTATGTTAATTATTATAGTAAGATTGATACTATCATGTTTCAAACGTGTTTAATACATTGCCTCTTATTTGTGATCTTTTCACTTCATGGGTAAAACCTGTAAATGATTATAAATTAATCACGATTTTAAATTCTTAATATTAGTAAAAATAATCTGGCGTTAATAGTAACACCAGTCTATTTCTATCAATATGGACTAGTTATAAAATATTTTGAAGGGTTTAGTTTTCTCTATTTCAAATTTCTTGCAAATAGAGTGACTATCAATATGGACTAGTTATAAAATATTTTGAAGGGTTTAGTTTTCTCTATTTCAAATTTCTTGCAAATAGAGTGAAAGTATGAAGAGTTTTTTGTCTTCTCAATTATTATTTGTTTCATGAAGAAAACATGCCACCGTTGCTTCCCGGTCTTCTCTAACGTCGACACGCATCATCAGCAACTCGAGCTCTCTGAAATACTCCTCCACGTCCCCTGAACCCTGTCGAAGCCCTTGCAGAGACTCGTAGAGCTCACGCTGGTAGTAAGCAGTTATGAATCGGTCTCGCATAATCCTTCGCAGCTCGTCCAACGTCGCGACCGGATTCTGATTATCTCATCGTCGACGAAGCTGCAGCTGCTCCCACCATTGTGCAGCGTAATCCGAAAATTCACAAGTAGCCATTGCTACTTTCTGGACCTCGCTAAATTGGCCTCACTGAAAGAAAAGAGTAATTTTCCTTTCCCAGTCGAGGTACGATGAAGGGTTCATCGTCCCCTGAAACGACGGTACAGACAACTTGATTCCCGGCGGCACTGCCGACTCAGCGTCCTGTTGCCGTTCACGCCGATCGCGATGCAGACGTTCGTGATGTGGTTCCGCAACAACCAGACGTCATTCCAGCTCAGCAATTCGATTCATCAACTTTGGATTGCCAACTGGGTTTTCGTGGCCGAGAACTTCCCCTGCTCGGACTCCATTCTCCGGTAGAGTCAGAGCCTCAAACTTCTGGTCAATTTCGTGCTTAAATTGACCCAATTGATCCTGGATTTGGGTCTAGAACCTCTCCTCCATACGATCAAGTAGGGCGTCCATGTCGAATGTATGTCCTGACATGGCTGTCTACTTCTTTTTCCTCATTGGTTCTGGAAACACATATGAGTCTTCAAAATCAGGCCCTTTCGACCTCGTCCAGGGCGTCGTTGCAGTGGCGTTGTCCTCCGTTCTAGCCACTGTGTTGAACCAGGCTCCTGATGCCATTTGATAGCCCCCTAGATGGGTGGTTTTGGATCAGAGAAGCACAACTAGGATTCAATTCAAGATTGAATCAAAACTGGGTGAGAAAGAACACAAAACAAGGTCTTGTGCTCGTGTTTGGGATGGAACCTTTCGTGCAACTTTTACGATGGGAAAGAGGCTCGATTGGTGTCTTGGATGCTTGGCCACGAACAAGGTGAGTACTTGAACGATACAAGCTCAAGATCAGACCTAGATTCGGCTAGGTTGATCTCTCAATTCATAAGACAAAATCTTATGAACGCAAACTCTCAGTTTGTTATTCAACTCTACGAAATCTGAAAATTACAACTAATCAAAGCTACTTAAATAGACCTAGCCAATCCTACTACTCATAGAGAAGTCCTAAACAAATTACAATTGGAAAAGGAAATCAAAACCAACAATGAAAAGGAATTAATCACAAAAAAACAAAGGAATCCTAATCAGATAAAGATTCGGATTGCCTGGTTTCCAAAGACAGAAACTCAGCTTCGATACGATCTTTGGAGCTTTCGTTCGAGGCCTTCCATTCTTCATTCCAATCATCCAACACCATGTCGTTGTAGTAGAAGAAACCTACTTTCATGAGGTATGATTCTTGAAGCTCGACTCTCATCCATCCCTTCGATTGAGGCTTCCAAAGTTCCTTAACACTTAGAATATTTCGGCAGTTTTTCCCATGTTGAGCTAACAACTTGATAGACCTGGAAATATCTCTTCTGGGCTTCCTCTCGAGCTCCAAAGAACATCAATGGGAAGATAAACTCTTCATCTTCAAAACAATGCCTTAAACTCGAATTTTCATTAAGCCAATAACAAGTTCCCTACGTGCAAAGTTGGATACCTGAAACTATAAAAGAACTTAGCCAAAATTCAGTGTTCTTTAATGTACTTTGCTTACCTTCTTGATCAATCAATTCCAGCTTAATTAAGGACCAATTTGGGATCATATCAAGGTATTAACAAGACTTTCTTAAGAATTACAGTTCATTTATCCTAACTGACCCTATATGAGTAACACACACTCGAGAGCTATTTGGTAAAGACACAAACATATCACATACAGCAGTAGGTGAAAGTAGATAAACAATATCAAACACAACATGATGAGAAGCACCACTGTCTAAAATCCACTTAGAAGCATTGTCAACCATTGAATTGGCAAAAGCAAACTTACCTCCATCCTGGCTTGAGGTAGCAGTAGATGAAGAAGCCAGGAATGGGGAGTGCATTGGATAAGACTTCTCGACACAAACACCAGAAAATCCAGTAGTGACAAAGTTAACAGTAGGGGTTGGAGGTGGAAGAGCTTGGGGGTGACATTGAGCAAACAAAGCTCGGTACTGTTGCTGTGTCAATACAACAGAATCGGAAGGAACACTTCCGTTCTCACTTGAACCAGAACTGTTAGTGTCGAAAGACTCACTAACTACAACATTGACTCTAGAACGTGGCTTATAACCTGGTGGATAACCATGCTTCTTGTAACATCAATCAATAGTATGCCCAGTTAATCCACAAAAAGTACAGACATGCCTTTTTAACTGGTTATTCCCCTTATTTTGACAAGATTGTACAACACAGGGCATATGATTGACAAAATTAGGGTTGGGAGTCCTAATTTGACGCTCATGCTGGGCTATCATAGAGAAGACCTTGTTAATGGGAGGCAGAGGATCCATTAACAGTATCAAACATCTAACAGACTCAATATCCTCATTCAGACCTCTCAAGAACCTAATAACATGTATACTCTCATGTATTCAGCACAAGAACATCTAGGGATACATGCACAAGAACGAACATGACGATAGGTTGTCAATTCATCCCATAGAACCCTAAATTTGGTGAAGAACGCACTTACAAACATATTTGCTTGCTTCAGTCCGTAGATCTCATCATGGAGATCAGCGATGCGAACCAGATCAGCAATGTTGAAGCGCTCCTGGAGATCATGCCAAACTTCAACCGCAGTGTTCAGCCAAAGAACGCTCTGTGCAATCTCCGGTGAGAGCGACCGGAGGATCCAACCAAGCACGCACGTATCACACTGCTGCCAAGCTTGGAAGAGCGGATCGCCATATGGAGGCGTCAGGACAGCCGGATCGACGAACAATATCTTGTTCTTCGACAGGAGACCAAATCGCATGGATCTAGCCCAAGAATGGTAATTCGGCCCGGTGAGAACGACAAAAACGAGCTGCGCCGTTGATGAATCGCCGGAACTGATGTAGTACGGGTGGTTTGGTGCAAGCGTCGCCGAGATCGGCATCGACGGTTGAAACGCAGTGGGAGTCGCCATGGAAACGAAGAGAGATGCAGAAGCGAATCAAAGAAAGAAAAGAAAAAGAGAGAAAGGCAAGAAACGCCTAGATTGGAGGTCATGGGCTTGAAGTTTGCACATGCCCACCATACCTTGTGCTTTAATCAACTGTTAATATTGGAGGTCATGGAGATTCGAACACACGATCACTTGGCCAAACCAGGCTCTGATACCATGATGAGAGAGAAAGTGTCTACTTGTTTTATTTCATAAAAGGTGAATTTACACCGTTCGTTATTACAATATATACAACCTGGAAATAATAAACTAGCAAAACAGTTCACAAATATAAACAAATATTACACATGGTCCTTAAACTAATTCTAGTTTACAATATGGTCCAACATTCTCAACGATTAAATCGCGGCTTAAGACTTGAGCACAATGTTTGGACACTGTTAAGCTGATGGGTACAATTAATCGAGCACGTAAAACAATTTTTGAACTCTAAATTATACACGAGTATTAAATTATGCCGGCCAACAAATCGGACCCTAATCTAGTTGGCTGTAGATGGTTCTTCGTGTTTTCCCATCAGACCCATTATTATTACAACATATCTTATGTCCTTTTCATTTCCTGCCTAATAATATAGAATAGTCTACTCTTTTTTTTTTTTTTGGTAGAGTATAGAGTAAGGTTTGAAATTCAGATTCGACTATTCTAAATTTCGTAAATTTTCATCTAAAACATCATCATTTTATTCCTTGACGGGAAATGAAACCCCACGTCTTATGATAGCAGGGAGGACGGACTAATACAAAACAAAATTTGGAACTAATTAATCAATCCCACCTATAATAATAATCATCAAATAATGCCAAGAAAAAAAACTTGGTAGAAATGGACTAAGCTATCATTATCCATGAATATTTTGCAGAAAAATTAACGAATAAAAATGATTGAAGAGGTAAATTACTTGCGTACGCCAAATAAAATCGAATTAGTCGGCAGAGAGAAAGAAACAAATTACAATTAGACAAGTAATCCGTTAATTAATTAATCAATTAAAAAAGAGGTTTTTGCAGGGGAATAATCGGGGAGAGAGGGAAATACAGAGAGACGTGCCGGTGAGTAACTGTCTCCGCACAGCTCTTAACTATTTTTCCCGGCAAAATATCCCAACCCTCCCATTTCATCCCCTGCGGACAGTACCACCGTAAACCCTCACGGTCAAATCTCATATCACCCAATCGTCCGGTTGAAAACAAAGCCAGAAACCCCTTATCACGCCGTCAGCTTCCCTCCTCCGTCAATCTCTGGATCCGTCGCATCTCCTCCTTCCGTTTATTTAATTCCGTTATCCCCCGCATCGTCCGCTCATTCTTTCAAAAACTATTTTCCCCTTTTCCTTTCTCTTCCAAAGCTTTCTTCTCCATTTCCAGAGCCTTTCTTTTCCTTCCCGAGAAAAGCAAGTTTCCCCCCCTCGAATTTGCTCGCCGGAATCTCCTTCCCTGCAAGCTCGTAGCTCCGTTCGCCGGCCTTCTTCACCAGCAGAATCCTCTCTTCTTCGACTTGCCTGTAGCAGTTCGCGGCGTCCTCTGTGAATTGAGATACAAAAGGTGAGCTGAGAGGTTTGGGGGGAGGAGGAGGAAGACTAATTTTCCGAGCAACCAAACATAAGAATTTTGATTTTCTCACAGTGTTTTTTGTTTTGTTTTGTTACAGCAGGTGAGGGAATGGACGGTTCAGAGACTTGAAGAAAAATTAGGGAATTCCGTTTGAAAATCTTCTCTCCTGTCTCAATAAGGAATCAGAATTTATTCCCACTACACATTGTGTTGTGTGAAATCAATTCTGCGGCCATCACAATTTGGTTTCTGTATATTTTATACCGTTGCCATTTTCGATTAAGAAAGAGGGGAGGAGGAGAATTGAACCGGGAAAGAAATCAGGAGTACAAAAAATGGAGGTCGTAAGCTCAATTACGACGAAGCTGCAGGGGCTTTCCACATCGGACCACGCATCCGTGGTCTCCATGAACTTGTTCGTCGCCCTGCTTTGTGCTTGTATAGTCATTGGTCATCTTCTGGAGGAGAATCGATGGATGAATGAGTCCATTACTGCCCTTTTGATTGTGAGTTTCGTTTCTTTCCTTTTTTGGGTTTCCTTCCCATTTGCCTAAAAGGGATCCGGGGATTCAGGCGAAAAAAAAAACTGATGGGATCCAGTTTTGGTAGTAATTCAAAGTGCTTTTTTGTTGTTGTGTGTGGCTTCGCTGCAACAATAGCAGTTTACTGATCTTATGTGGCCCATTGCTACTATAGGGTGTGTGCACTGGGGTTGTGATATTGCTGGTTAGTGGAGGGAAAAGCTCGCATCTTTTGGTGTTCAGTGAGGATCTTTTCTTTATCTATCTTCTGCCGCCTATCATATTCAATGCCGGGTAGGGAACTTCGATTTGCAGAGTTCACAGTTCATCTCTGGTTCATGAGGGTTACAGCTAGAGGGCTCTTTTGTGTGTTTTAAGTTTTAACGTCTGGTCTTTGCATTTTCTGTTCCAGGTTCCAGGTGAAAAAGAAGCAATTCTTCCGGAACTTCATCACCATTATGTTATTTGGTGCTATCGGTACATTGATATCTTGCTGCGTTATATCCTTAGGTAAATAACTAATATCTGCAATGCTTTTCTTATTTGAAGTACCTAGATTGATTCAGGGTTCAATTTTCTTTGGAGAAGTTGAAATGTCTCCTTTTGCAAATTTGGCATGGTTCTGGTAGTAGATCGTGGTCATACTGTCATGTCTAGTTCTGGACCAATTTCGTAAGTTGGCAGTGTGAAAGAGAAGGATGATAGGGGAACTGTTTTTGCAACTTGTGGATGTTGACCCTGGAAAAGATATTTAACGTAAAATGAACAATGTCTGACTTGGTTGCTGATGCTATTTTACAGGGGCCATTCAGTTCTTTGGTAGAATGGACATTGGTGAATTTGACGTGGGGGACTACATAGCAATTGGAGCAATATTTGCAGCAACAGATTCTGTATGCACGTTGCAGGTATGTCACATACAAAGAGTATTTGCAGCCTTCCCGACTTCTACTAAGAACTGTTTTCACTGGAAAACTGAACCTTTTGCTTCTCTATTGTAAAGATTCAAGAATTGTTTTCACTGGAAAACTGAACCTTTTTCTTCTTAATTGTACAGATTCTTAATCAGGATCAGACGCCTCTACTCTACAGTCTTGTATTTGGGGAAGGTGTCGTAAATGACGCTACGTCAGTGGTGCTTTTCAATGCAATTCAGGGCTTTGATCTTGTCAATCTTAATCCACACATTGGTTTGGAGTTCATTGGCAACTTTTTGTATTTGTTTGTTACAAGTACTTTGCTGGGAGTTGGGGTAACTCTCTCTCTCCCTCTCTCTCTCTCTCTTGTTGTTTCATAGACAGTTCAAATCTGTTTCTTGTTGGACAACATTGTTGAGATTGAAATCCAATCCATTTGGTATTTGTTGCAGACTGGATTGGTCAGTGCTTACATCATAAAAACCCTCTACTTTGGAAGGTATGTTATGGTCAACAAAATTCAGATAGGCGTGTATTGCCAGTTGTAAGAATCTTCCCACTAACTTAATACTTGAAATTGTTCAGGCATTCAACGGATAGGGAGGTTTCTCTCATGATCCTTATGGCATATCTTTCGTACATGCTTGCTGAGGTACGATTGTTTCCAAATTTTCTTGTGTGTCACTTTTATTTTCACGTATGATCTCCAAGATATGGTACTTAATTTATTGACTTCTCTTGCAGTTGTTCTATTTGAGTGGGATTCTCACAGTATTTTTCTGTGGAATTGTCATGTCCCATTATACATGGCACAACGTGACTGAGAGCTCGAGAGTAACGACAAAGTATGTGACTCTATATCGATGAATCTGATCACTCTTATTACTATTTTGCCTTAGAATTTATTTCTGAAACCGATCACTTTCTCCCCAGGCATGCATTTGCAACCTTGTCATTTGTTTCTGAGATATTTATTTTCCTCTACGTCGGTATGGATGCCTTGGACATTGAGAAGTGGAGCGCCGTTAGTGACAGGTTTGTCCTTAATTACGTTTTACTCTTTTGATCAAGTCGATCAATCGAACCTTTTTCATCCTTTCATTGGAATGATAATTTAGATGCTGAAGCTCTTGCAATTCTGTTTCTTGTGCAGCCCCGGAACAATAGTGACTGTGAGTTCAGTATTATTGGCCCTGGTCCTTCTGGGAAGAGCAGCTTTTGTCTTCCCCTTGTCCTTTTTATCGAACTTATCTAAGAAATCACCGAATGATAAGATCGATATCAAGCAGCAAGTACGATCCTGTCTGCCCCAACTCCTCTTGAATAACTTGATTTTTATTGTAAGCCGTATTCTGACATTTGCTTTACACTTTTGGATATTTGATTTAGATTGTCATATGGTGGGCTGGCTTGATGAGAGGTGCTGTATCTATGGCACTCGCTTATAACAAGGTAAGATCGTGGAAGAAATACTTGCTTCTTTTTTCGTTGGTGAACATTCAGTATTTCCTGATCAATTTGCGAGCTATCTGCTTCATTGCCATTGCAGTTTACCAGTGGGGGGCACACTCACTTGCGAGGGAATGCTATCTTGATCACCAGCACCATCATTGTTGTTCTTTTCAGCACAGTGGTAAGTTCTCCTTATTCGGTTGTAGTAAGTAACTTCGAACTATAGGCCATAGTAACTTCAGGTGTCGTTCGGATGTAGGATTGCTGCTTCTACTTAAATTTCCGAAGTAATTGCTAAACATTGATGTTTCCTCAGGTCTTCGGTTTGATGACTCAACCTCTCATAAGGTTCCTGCTCCCCGACGGGAATAGCCAGTCGAGCACAGCGGTATCTTCCCATGCTGGCTCCCCGAAATCGATCACAGTGCCCCTCTTGGGGGAGGGGCAGGACTCGCTGGAAGATCTCGCGCAACAGCACCTCAACGGCGGGAACAGACTGCGAGCCCTGCTCACCACCCCAACCCACACCGTCCATTACTACTGGCGCAAGTTCGACAACGCCTTCATGAGGCCTGTCTTTGGTGGCCGGGGGTTCGTCCCTTTCGTCCCTGGCTCGCCAACTGAACGCACTTCCGCCAGCATCACCACTCCCTTTCAGTAAAGAAGAGACGAGAAGAGAGAACAAGAAAGGAGGGAAGGAAGGAAGGAAGGGACTCCCAAAGGGTACAAAATTGTACAAAAATGGGTTAATGGTAATATATCTCATCAGACAAACATGGCAACAATGCGACGGCCGCGCTTTTGTGCCAACATTTTGTAAATTAGCTCTATTTCTGTGTATTGTGCATTTGTGGCTTTAGAGAGAGAGGAAAGAAACGACGGGAAGTTGGTATTGGCTATGTTGTAATTTTGTCCCATCCCTTATTTTGCATTTTTGACAAATATTCCTTCCTCTTCGGTTTGCACTAATTTTGATGGAAAATTCACTCAACCCTTCATTCTCATAAGTCATCAGTCAAGGCTTTTCCTATCGAGCCAGCCAGTGCCTTCCTCCACAGGTTTTCTTTATATTACTTGCTATAGGGTGCGCTGCTGATTGCTGACAGCAATGTATATCTCTCTTACACATGTCGAGGGTGATTGTACTAAAAAGTAAACGGTCTATTATTACAAAAGCGAACTCTATTTTCATGAACAACCATCCACTTGTAAGTTGTAACCTATTCATGAGGTAACTAACAACCACAGCATATCTTCTTCATGGTTTTTTTTTTTTTTTTGAATAGCTTCTTCATGGTTATAGTATTGAATTAGTTCAATAAAGACATATGTTGTAATCCACTTGTTATGAATTGTCATAAGAGCGATAAATAGTTGGTAATGAAATAAGCTGAATTACTAAACATCTAGCGTTATGGTTAAAAGACGAGTTAACCAACTATAATGTGGCGTATTCGTGATTAGCGAGGGTAGAATTGATCCACCGAAGAAATTCTTAAAAAGGTTTTTAACTCTGGACGGTAGTTTTGAAACAAGATCGTAGTGAGTGATTTTAAAACAATCCCCCATTATGCCGGATTTTGAAATATGGAAGGTGATAGATTATGGCAATTAGGAATTTCAAAATCTCTCAAATGTAGGGTTTTGAAATAACTAATGAGGATAAACTATTTCAAAATCCTCCACTCATATTTTCCCCCCTCCATTTATGTCCCTTATATTTATATTAAATCTCATCCTTACCCTCCGCAATCGACCTCCCCCTTCCTCAAGTCTTTATTTGTTTATTTCTACCAAAATTTCACCCAATTGTGAATCAATTCTTGTCGCCGCCAAATGGGAGCGTGTTTCTTATTCTCCTCTACTTCTCTCCCTCCGACGGCTAAAGTCGTCTACCTCAAAGGAGATCTTTGCGAGTACGCTCCTCCAGCCTCCGAATCTCAAGTTCTGCAGTCCCATTCTTTCCTCTACAACTCTGATTTCCTCTATTACGACGTGCCCATTGCGCTCTTGTGCTATTACTCCCCAATCAACTCTACTTTTTTGCTCTCAACCTGGAAGCTCAACTCTATGATCACCGCTCCGGATATGGCCACTTTGACAGTCACAGCTAGTCAGGCCCTCCAATCCTCGGTCAATCACGGCGCTAAGAAGAAATCCATCATCACTCTTTTTCCCCCTCTATAAATGCATATTAGTCATTTCAATGATATTTCTTGTCTAAATCACAACTATTTGATCGATGAGCTTTCAATAGAGACCTAGGAGGTGTTATTGTACTATTTGATGCCTTGTTGGTATATTTATGATTGTTTTGAAGGTATAAAGCAACCTAAGGATAATTGAATCACACATTGAAGAACTTTAGAGGACCAAATGAGCAATAAATAAAAGATAAAGGATCTTTCACAGAAAGAAGAGGTCCAATGACAGAAAAGTCAACTATAAGTTGCCATTTTGAGTTGATCTGGGTCCTCAGAGAAATGGCACCCGAGGGGCCATTTTGGAATTTGGTCGACTAATTTCGGTGTCATTTTGGACTTGAGCTCTAATTTTCGTTTTATACTTCCAATACTTGGGCCTTGAAGTATCTCACTCGTACACGGTGCTCCACTGTGATACTTGGACCTCAAAACACATGAAAAACTACCCAAAGGAAATAAAAATAGTAAAAGTAGTCATACCAGCTACTACACACACCTTGGAGGGGCAATTATCAAGCAATTCCATTTTGTTATGGAAATAAAGATACAAAAACAATAAAAAAAATATGTCATTAAATAGGGGGTTAAAAATAGTAAAATTTACATGTCATGAGGCACCTCTTTCGCTATTTTCATGCAATAAGCTCCCTTCAAAATTGTGCCAGAACTGCCAATTTTGCATCGCCTAAAATTTAGCTTAGACTCTGACTACAGACTATTCAAACATACAAAATACAAAAACAGAAGCGAACATAAACAAAAAAAATGACTAAAAATAAAGAGACTTTAAACAAAGCAAACAAAACGATAAAATTTTCCAAAAGATCGTGAGAGTCCCCAACAACGGTTCCAAAATTGGATCTGATGTAGAACAGAGGTCAATTTACTTGGTAGGTTCCATGATCGTATTTCCTTAGGGCCTTTTAAATTCAACTACTTAGTTAGTAGGGATTTCGTTCTTTGATTGAAACTGGATTTGGGGGTGAGGTTCTCCTCGATTTGCTTTTCAAATTTAAAGGTGCCGAAAACAAAACAAAAGCCAAACTAGACGTGGGAAAGTAGTAAAGGAAGGCATTGCATAGGCAAGCTCCTCCTAGAGTTTTCTTAAACACGATTTAGAACGATAGGCGACTTAAACATACGAGATTGAGGAAATTCACAAGGATTCCTCCACTCACTATGCTTCTCTGCCCTATCGTCTACCTTGGATGTATCCTTTGGAGATGGATTAGGAACACGCGGTCTAGCCAACTAATCATATATTCTTGTCACAGTTGCTAGCATATGTATATTGCATTTGATATGCAACAATCATAAGGGATTTCTTATTATAATCCATCCAATATAAACATTGATACGATGATATTCTAAGTGCAACAAATCTAGAAAGGTAAACTAATATATATAACACAAGAATAAATTATTACATAGTCTAAGGAACCTATAGGCTTCGCCTGCATACACACCCTCTTAGAGGGACAAAATCTAATATACATATTTGTCTAGAAGACGAGATACCTTAATTATGTGAAATGGCTGTCTTATAAGGGAAATGGTTCCTACGATGTTATTCTGATCCTCGTGCTACTGATCGCTTCTAGTTTGTGATGAGTTGCTTTGTCGGCAGAGTAACGCCCTGTTAAGAGTTGTCTTCAGATGTTGGTTGAGGGGGTCCATTAGGTTTTCTGAGAGATTCCAATGAGGGAAAATCTTATGCTCACATATCATCATATCTCCAGCTTTGCCGCCAAGAAATAATATCCTAACAGATCGAATTGATCTTCACCTTCTGTAAAATGGCGCTTTTAGTGTCATTTTAGGTTTTGGTCGACGACCTAGGATGTTAATGACACTTTATTTATAGTGTTTGTCACCCCCATATTTGATACATTATCCCCTTCTATGGAAGCATCTTTAATTATTTCATTGAAATTTCTTGTATAAATCACTACTATTTGACCAATGAGCTTTTAATAGACTTAGGCAATGTTCTTTTACTATTTGATGCCTTCTTGGTATATTATTGATGATTTCGAAGGTATAAAACAACCTAAGAAAGATTGGATCAAGCATTGTAGAACTGTGGAGGACCAAATGAGCTATCAAGAGAAGTTTATGAAGCTATCACTAATTATGAGTGGTCCAATGACGGAGAAGTCAGCTAGAAGTTGTTAGACTATGTCAAGACGAGCCCATAGGAGGAAGAATCATCCCATTGTGAAGCAAAAAAGAGTGGCGGCCCAAGTAACAGGTCCAACGGACGCTACCCAAAGTTGCAATCAAAACCATTTGGAATTAAAGTCCATGGATAGCTTAAATCACGAAGAACCAGGACGGCGGGCCCAACTAGCGTACTGCTGCCTCCTTACCTTTTTCTTGTTGACGAAATTTTCTAAGTCTACTAGTTTAGGAGACTCTTCCCTAGTCGGTTTAGGTTATTTTAGGTCGTATTCTCCCCTATAAATAGACAAAATTATTCCATTGTAATATAAGACTACACAAACACACAAATCTCTGTAATACTCTACACGAGTGCATAGTCTAGTCGAAGTAGAGGGGTCTGCGGTCAAGGAGATGTTGTCATCGTCAATGGTGGTACCTTCCTTCTCCTCTATGTAGCTAGTTGAATTTGATTGTGTTAGGATGTGATCTTGTTTACTATTATGTGAATGAATGCCACGATTTCATCTCATGCTTGTGTTTGTCTATGAAGATTTTGATGCATATGATGATCATTGATGCTTTTTTTCTCTCGATGCTTATGATGGTCATTGATGTTTATAGTAAGAATGCTTTTGATACAATCAATGCATATGATTTTAGTGTATGATACTATATGCATTGTGCTTAGTATTGCCTATATTGTCAAGAAATTACCTTTTAGGGATACCCCACTGATGCTACACGAGTGTGGGAGGATTGATCACCCATCTATGCTTCGAGTAGTGTCAATGCTTGACTGTTAGATCATCAATTCTATAGACTATATTTATGGTTCGTAAAAGCCCACAATTGAATATATGCTATCCTAACTTCCTTATTCCTTATTGATTAGGTACACATGAAGGGAAAACATGCATGAGCTAGTTAGATCTCTATCGCAAGAGGCACAAGCATGGGTAAAAAGTGGCCTTAGAGGAAGGGATAGGGCATTACATTAGATGAATCATCAGTGCATGATATGAATGGGACCTAGTTTTTCATGATCATCTTCGAGTTTATAATGTATTAAAATAACACATCTTTACTTTCATGCATCTATAAATAGAAAACGCCTAAACAACTTTATTGTTCCTGTTTTGTTTGTTTGCTCAATGAAAACCCCTAAATGTCTCCATGATTTCGTGTATGTGTTGATGGTTGGTGTGAGTAGGTATGCATTAGAATACCTCAAGGAATATGACCCTAGACACATCTAGGATTTTTATTACTTGCTTGAATACTACATCAAATGTTAATCGTGTTGTCCACTAGGGTTAAGGGTGGTTATTAGGTTCGATTTTACTGATATGAACCGCTATCGACAGAGTACGAACCAAACTTGCAGACTATACGAATGGAATTCATCAGTCATGAACCAAATTTCAAATCCCAACCAGCCCGTGCCACAAAATTAGCTTGTCCCTTCCCTTCACAATCTTCCTTAATCCCCTTCCCCCCAACCCCATGCGGCACGCACGAGCAGAAGAGTATAGGAGTTGACTGTTTGCAACTCTTCCTCCCTTTACTTATATCGACGGCAATCCCTAGGCAGTCCTCTATCGTCGTTGCCAATCAATCACCAACAAGCGACCATCGATTTTTTCTTCCTCTTGACTCTCTTTATTTAT